AAAAAATCAAAAAATTTACAATTGCAACGAAAACAATGCTGTGAAACGAAGTCTCAGTCAAGTCTAAAGTCTGTCCCAAGACCGATAGGTCCTATAGCCATTTTTTTGTTTTTTTCTTTTTCTTTTCTTTTAAGATGGGTATAACTTTTAATTTTTGGCAAAAACCCTTCTTAAGCCCCTCAACTTTCTCGACAGCAAGTGATAAACCCCTGAACTAAAAATGAAGTGAATAAGCCCTCCAACTCCCTGTATGAAGCAAATTAGCCCTTTCGTTAACTGAGCCCCTCAACGTCGTTTGGGTAATTGCTTGTGTGGCAATAAATCTCTTTTTCAACTACATCAGAAACACCCCAAAATTTTAACAAACCACCTCACCGAAGGGAATCCTTTTTCCATTTTTTTTTATAAAAAAATTCTAGGAAAAGAACAAGCCAAGATCTACAAAAATCCCCAATCCAATTCGTTGAAAAAAGGAAAACCCCAATCTCCCAATTTCATCAATGTCTCTTGATATTAATAGGGCTTGATCGGGAGAGCTATAAATGATGGGCGATTTCAACCTCGCTCTAGTGATCATCATGATAGTGGTTTGTGTGCTGGTGTTCATCTTCAATGTTTATCTCCTCATCAATTTCCAACACTCGAACAACGCCAATCAGGCATATTTCCCTAAATTCGTTGTCATTTTGGGTCTTTCCATCACCTTGATCTCCATTCTCATGTTGTCGATGGATTTCGCTAACTGGCAGGCGTCAAGGCATGCCATATAAGATGACGCTTGTAATCTCAACCTCCCAATGAAAGATCTGTGGCTCGCTATTTATATTGTGGATGTAGTGCTTGTCTTCTTCATTATCCCGTTTACCATGTTCTACTACGAAGGAGACCAGGACAAGTTTGTATTCCTTGGGTTTTTTTATTTTACAGTGCTATTTTTATTTGAATGGGTTTTCATTTCTTTTAATTTAATCTTGTTGTTTGATTGTAGGAGTGTTGACAAACGGATAAAGAGTGCATCATTGTGGGTGGTGACAACTGCAATTGTATGTGCTCTTATGCTTGACATTCTATATGGTTAGTGTTTTTGTTTTCCATTTCTTTTCCATGAATGAAGTTGTTTGATACGTTGGATGCCACATGGATATTAACCACCATGCAAGCCATTACACAAATGACATTGAGAGGCTTAATTAACAAAGGGACTGATTTGCTTTATACGGGGAGTTGGAGGGTTTATTCGCTTCATTTTTAGTTTAGGGACTTATCACTTGCTATCAAAAAAGTTGAGGGGCTTTAGAAGGGTTTTTCCTTAATTTTTACTTGTAAGTCTTATAATTTTTAAAATTTTAATTATTAAACCCTAAACTTCCTAATAATATAAATTCTAATCCCTAAGAAACTAATACTTAAATCTTAAAAGTGTAACTCCTAACATCATAAATATTATACTTTAAAAAATTTAAACCTTAAATCTTAACTAAATCCTAAAATATTTAAACCCTAATATCTTAAATACTCAATCCCAAAAAATCTACTCTTTAACACCTTAAATACTAAACTCTAAAAGAACTCTAATATCCCAAATACTAAACTCTAAAAAATCTAAATCTTAACACAATCATAAAAAATTTAAATCCGAACCCACTTTGTCCCCCAAATGTAAGATCTCCTGTAAGTAATAGAAATGAGGTAAAATTTACGACGAAAACCCTTGCAGTATATCTACCTCTCCATTAGCTGGCACAAGGATGGGAAGCCTCTCCTCGCACTTGCAAAGACGCATTGCTAATCTAGACACACAATCAATAGTTAAACTAACTTAAAATCATAATATTGTATAGTTTTTTATTTCAAAATAATTTTTTTCCTAAATTAAGAATTAAGTATAATTTATGTATTTATTTATATATTTGTAAAGAAAAATTGAAAGATAGAGTAAGATTTTTTGTAATAAAATAATTAATTAAAATAAATAGATAATAATAAGATT